ATGGATACCATTGGCCTGAATCACCATAACTGTCCAGAAAAGCACAGCAGCAGGGAGGGGAGCAGGGGACTTGGGGCTGGAGATCTCTGAGTCCTGGGATCCTCTCTGGATGCAGGCTCAGCAGTCCAAGGAGGGGGTGCCCCAGCGTGGCTCCTCTGTCCTGACACCCCTGCTACTACCACTCAGGGTTCCAGGATGGAACTGGCTGGGGGAGATGGTTGGCCAGGGCCTTGGTATCCCATTTGTATGACAGGACCACCAGAATGACCAGCAGCATACAGCTGGGGAAAGGCCATCATGGGGGCTGAGGTAGTTGGGGCTGTGGGTAGGGCGGTTCACCATTTCTACCCTGACCAGCAAGCAAAGTATGGGGGGTTGATGTGGACTGGAAAATGCTCCCATGGGTCCATACTTGGCTTGAGCCTGCCCAGAGGGTAGCCCATAGCCCCCAGACATGGCCATTCCAGGTTCATGCTCCCAGCCCAGCTCTGGACAGGCAGCCTTCCCTCACCTCCAACCCCCACCCCAGGCAGAAAGTCTTTTGCCTTCCTTCTGTAGAGACCCTCCAAGGAAGGTGTCGCACCCAGGTCAGGAGCCCATCCCCGGGCTGGTACATATGATGAACCAACTGGTTCTTCCTCATGTCTTATTATAATCTCTCCTGCTTTGCCTTCCCATGAGGTCCCCAAAGTTGTTCCCCTTGTACCCTAGACACCCAGCCAGAAGAGGGTAGGTCCCTGGCTGTACCCATCACAGTGACCTGGGCTTCTGAGAGGGGAGACCTGCCATCTTCACATCCTTCCTTCCCCCGTGCACCCCCAGGCACCTGATGAATTATTCATCCTGATCAGCCTCATTATGTAAATGAGCTCAGAGCCCAAGCATATGCTCTCTGCTCTCCCCCCAGGATGGGAACAATATGGTGCTGATGGGGGAAGGTGGAGAAGGGGCTCGGAAGGCCTTCTTCAGCCCCCAGGGGCCCTAGCACAGGCAGACTGCAGTAGGGACCCTTTTGTGGCCTGTTCAGTGGGTTTGAGGGATGGGGTTGGGGTACCCAGGAAGGTGCGGCTCAGGGGTGTCTGGCTAAGCACAGGGGTATGGCATATGAGCACCAGTTCACAGCAGGAGCTCCAGTGATGCACTGGCCCTGGGGTTAGATGAGGAAATGCAATGGGGTCTTGGCAGACAGCCCCCACACCCTGCCGAGGTATACCACAATTTCCAACCTGTAAATGGGCCACAGTCTGCACCCAGCCATGCCCCCATGGGGTTGTGTTAAGGTCAGGTGGAGGAAAATGCCAAGGCAAGGAAAATGCTCCCAAATGCCAGTGTCTGCAGTTTCTGCACTCTGGCAGCTGCCAGCCCTCATGGCTCCAAGCTACTGGGGGTGGGGCATCCTCTAGGACTGAGTCAGGCAAAGAGGGCAGCCACGGAGGAGAACGAGAAGGCTGAGGGGGCCCAGATGCCAGGATCGGCCTGGCCGCAGGCATCTGGGGGCATTTCAGAACCAGTTTGGGGAAGCCTGAGGGGGCAGTCTCAGTGGGGTCCAAGGCTGTCAGCTTGGTAGAGCTGGTGCCAGGGTCCACAGCAGCATCCACAGCTGGCTCAGGGCTCTGATCCAAGCATCCTCCTAACCTGTCAGAGCCAGGCCTGGGTTGGGCAGAGGGGCCCTCTCATGTACATTTGAAGGAGGGCAATGGTGGCTGTCAAGGTGGGGGTGAATCATGGGGGGCTCCCTCCTGCTCCCACAGGGTTGCCCTCTTCCTCTAGAACACTACTCCTGGGGGCCGGCCCGGTGGCGCACTGCTGTAGTGCGCCGCTTGGGAAGCGCGGCGGCGCTCCCGCCGAGGGTTCGGATCCCACATACAGACCGGTTCCCGCTCACTGGCTGAGCGAGGCGCGGGAGCGACGCCGAGGGCTGTGATCCCGTTGCCGGTCCCGGTATGGTACGGAGGCGACACTGAGGGTTGCGATCTGTTGCCAGACATGGAAAAAAAGACAAAAAAATAAAAAATAAAAAAAATAAAACAAGACACAACTATATGCTGTCTACAAGAGGCTCACCTTAGATATAAAGACACAAAAAATATTTCATGCAAGGGAACTATAAGAGAGTATAGAGAATATGGATGGCCATACTTTTATCACACAAAAAAGACAAGTCAAAAACTGTCATAAGAGTAAAAAAAAAAACATTATTATATAATGATAAAAGTGTTAACTCACCAGAAAGATATAACTTATAAATATTTATCAGAGCACCCAAGTATATAAAGCAAACACTGACAGAATCAAAGGGAGAAATTTCCTACTATGCTACTATACTAGTAGGAAATTTCAAAAAAGCAAAAAAAAAAAAAAAAGAACACTACTCCTGGCCTCCCCTCCCCCACCCCCGCCACCTCACCAAAGTGCCCTGTGCCAAGAAGCAGCCCCAGAGCTGTCAGCAGGAAGTAAGAGGCTGAGGAAGTAGGTGAGAAAAAAACTGGAGCAGGACAGAGAGCTGCTGGAGAGCTGGCAGCCGCCAACAGGCAGAGGGGCTGCCAGGAGGAGCCGGGATGCCGGGTCAGCACTTCTCGGCCTGCCTGCTGCACCAAGCACAGCCCTGCTGCAGCCCAGCTCCCCACGGCCCGAGGCTCATCCTGTCCTCCCTACCAAGAGGGGAAGCATAGCAAGAGGAGGGGCAGTACCCTGGAACAGGGGTCAGGGTCCTGGGCCCAAGCCCCAGCTCTGCCACAAGCCAGCTGTGTGACCACCTTGATTACTTCCAGGCAGTAGGGTAGGGAAGACATGCTCACTGATAAAAGTGTCTGGAATCACTCAAGTCCCATCAGAAACGAGGGGAACACATCCCAGGAGTGAAAATGATCAACAGGGCATTCAAATTTGATTTCTAGAAAAGACGGCATACCTGCATCGGCCTGCCCACTGCCGTTCGCACCACCTCATCCTCCAGTCAGACTTTCTGGCCATGCTCCAAGTCAAGAGCAAGGATCACAGACGGTCCAGGACTAACCCAGGGGCACACGGTGGTTACACTGAGCTGGGATTCCATCTCTGGTCCTCACCGTCCGGGAAGCCCAATGGTCCAGACAGATTCAGGTCTCACACACGAAGTGTGTACATTATTTTCTCACTGACAAACTTTCAGGGTCTGAGTTGCCCATGAGGATAAAATAAACAATGTTGGGCTGGCCCGGTGGTGCACTGGAGAGTGTGCCGCTTGGGAGTGCAGCGGCGCTCCCACCAAGGGTTCGGATCCCATGTGGAGACCGGTTCCCGCTCACTGGCTGAGCGCGGTGCGGGCGCAACACCGAGGGTTGCGATTCCGTTGCTGGTCCCCGGTACGGGTGCGACACTGAGGGTTGCGATCCCATTACCGGTCAGTAAAAAAGACAAAAAGGAAAAAAATATAATAATAAAATAAATAAATAAATAAATAAACAATGTCCTCAAGCTGAGGATTAAAAGTATGGAGGATTCTTGCCTGGAGGTGCATGGTTAACTCCTTATGTGGGGTACATCTTATGTCCCAATATGCAACTTAGCAAGGCGCATGATACATGCTCCAGGGAACCATCATTCCTTCATTAACCTGTGCGGCTGCGCTTGGCAGTGCCCACTTAGATTCTGGTTAGTGCTGGGTGCTATTCCTGAGCCTAAATAGACTCCTGTTCCGGAACAGCTTTTCCTACAGCACTTTCTCTGGAAAGCTCTGCTGGCCTCCTAGCACAGCTGAGTCATTAAGAGTTCACAGGAAGAGAGTGGGATGGGGGCTGCTGCAATTCAAGTCCAGCCACCAGGAAAGAGAAGTTCGGAGATGCTGGGCCACTGGGAGGAGCAAGCTAGTGGCTCAGACCTCCATACTGTACTTCCCTTCCCTTCTGTGCCATGTTACCACCTCATTAGCACCCCCTGATCAGCACCATGTTGTGCCAGAGGTCCTACATCTACAACCAATGGCAACACACTCACGGCCACCCCCATTTCCTGGGTAACTGCTCTAAGCTAAGCATGAGGAAAGGACGGAGGACAACCTCCACAGTTCCCACCCCACAGAGGTTACATCTGCTGATCCTGATCCTGACTAACAGGGACAACAGGAACACAGTGGGGTATCTAATCACCGATCCCTGGGCCTGGACTCTCGACTAAACCACTAATTGTAAGTCCACTCACTCTGCTGTTCCCAGGCCAACTATCAGCTGGAGATCCCCATTAATCCCCTGCTCAGTTCTGGTCAGCACCTCCCAGCCCAAGCCCCCAGCAACAAGATCCTGGAAGACCCACATGTATCCTGGGAGTCCCACCCCTACCACTCCAAGAACTTGGTTCTCCAAGCCTCTGTATTTCCACATAAAGAGTGATGGCTTGGGAGCCAGTGGTCTGACAGCAACACATTTTGCGGCCTTCTGGGGGTGACGGATGGCCTGCTCTTCACATCACTATTTCAAACATTAACATAATCTCCCAGGATGAATGTGGTCGCTGGTGCCTAATCAATCACCCCTCCCACACCTTGATCCCTCATCCCCCCAGCACAGGCTTTCATCTCGCTCGTGCCACAGCACCTGGAACACAGCTTTACGGGGTTCTTTGGCCTGCCATCCCATTTGATTCGTGGAACATCCCTTTGGCTTCCGTGCACCCCTGCATCCACTGGCCCCTCAAAGGCTTGGGCTCCTGCCCCAGGCGCTGCCTCAAATACAGATCTCACCCACCTGAAAACCTGAAAAGCCCCAACACCCTTTCAGAGACAAGGGTCATCATCATGAACTGACGGTTCCCACTCTGATATAGCGACTTTGGGAAGAGCAGACTGAGATCCAGAGGAGTCACTGCTTTTCTAGTTACTTCCCCAGATGCTCCCACGGGTCCAACAGGGTCCCATCATGCTGGGACCTCAACAATGCTAAATCCTCAGTCCTTATTTCTGAAGCCCTTCTCTATTCCTACTTGGAAGAGGGTCCCTGAGGAAAAGCAAGTGGCACCAGGCTTACCTCACGGAGCTGCTGGACGCCTCCAAAAATCCGCATTACACCATCAACCTCCTGCTCCAGGCGCCGGGCCCAGTGCTGCATCCTGCGTGCAGAGAGAGGAGAGATGTGTCAGGAAGGTCCACCTGCAGCTGGGACAGCCCAGCCCCAGCCACGCAGTGGGAACCAGGTGCTGACACCCACTCACAACCCAATTTTCACTAGAGAAACAGAGGCAAGGAACCAGTGTGCACCTGTGTTTCCCCTTTGAAGTCTAGACCAGTGGTCCAGGCTCTCCTTACGTACTGTAAGCCAGCCAGGGAGGAGAGAGGATTGTACTATAAATGCGCTGAGGGAGTTCAGCAGCTCAAAGAAGCCTGCAGGGAGACTATCTTTCACCGTGAAGAGCCAGCCCTTGACATAGCTGCTCTGAACATGGGGACTTCTGGACACCAGGGAGGAGGAAGATGTGAGGGAGCCCAGCAGGGGTTGCTGGATCTTAAAGTTTCCTATCCCCAAGGCCAGATGGGGCCTGGGGAAGGGGAGGGAACACTGCTGTCACCACCGAGATGTTGTGTAACCTGGGGCAGGTCCCTGGCCCTCTGGGTCTCATCTGAGCAGTGGACATGGAGAGCTTCCAGTTCTGACAGCCCTCGCCTTTCCAGCACCCTGGTAAACAGATGCTTACCTGAGGCTCATCGCTGGATGCCCAGCATGAACCACCCACCCACAGGTCCCTGAAGACCATCCTGACCTTTCTGGGGGGCTGGTGAGCCCCACAGACCCTTCACCTGAGCCATAAGCCTGAGCAGGTCTCCCTCACACCGGTGCCAGCCTGGGATCGTTTTAACCAATCTATGCCTCAGCTTCCTCCTCTGGAATGTGGAGATAATTTGGGGCCACCTCTTAGGATGTCAGAAGAACACATGAGAATAGGCTGATCAAAGGCACTGCACAGGGATCTTTATGAGTGGACAGGACGGACAGGTGATCACATGGCTCTGTATCTTCAGCCCTACACCCAGGAAAAGGAAGGTGTCTGGGAGAGGCCTCATCTGGGTTCAAACTGGTACCCTCCCTTCAGACAGTGCCAGATCAAATGAGCAAAATTGCACCGGTCCCTGCCAGGGGCCAGCCAGAGAGATGTTCTCCATACTGCCAGAGGTGCTCTCTGCTATGACCAAGTCTCCCTGCTCTCCTGCTCTGAAAAGGTATCTCAACTTCTCCAACTCACTTGACACACTCCCATTTTGCAGACCAAGGCCCTTTTAGGGAGGACCCATAGAATTACCACAAAGATTTAAATAAGCCATTGGTCAAGCACCTTGGGCTTGATACCTTCCCTAGTGCCACTCAGGGCCAGGACTTGCTGCTGGCTCTTCGCGTCAGAAGAGCCCAAGCCTCCTCCTGTCCCCCTGTCCCACATCCCATCTTAGGCCTGTGGCTAGGGGGCTGGGTTCATGTCATTGTGTGTGCCTGGGTCGGTTGGCATGGGAACTTGGAGTAGAAGGCGGGCAGATCGCTAATTGCAATTTGCCAAGCTGAATGTCAGGACCATGATGGGGGGAAAAAAACCCAACATCAAAAGAAAGAGGTATTAGCTTTGGCTTGTTGCTGGCTGAGCCACAGCCTGATTTCCACCTCCGCTCTCCATTGCAAGAAAAAATTCAACCTTGAGTCCAGGTGGAGGCCAGGCTACAGGCAGACTAAGAAAGGCAATCAGGCATCAGCTGCCAGCTTGGGTGGGGAAAGTGCACCCGAGAATCGAGAGCCTGCTTGGCTCCAGGCCACTGACCACCAGGCACTGATCTCTTGGCCCTGGCTGTGGGTGGACAATGTGTCAGCTAGCTCTTTTGTGCTCCTGAGATGGAGTCCTTGGGGCTAATGTTGGAATGGCCTGCCACATAGTCCAGCCAGGCAGGTGATAGACAGATGGGCGGGTCAAGGATCTGGTCTCCAGCGGGAACCACTAGATCTGCCCTCGCCTTGACTCTGACCTCAGCCACTCACTGGCCTGGGGGACAAAATCCTAACTGTAATCCTTCTTGGGACTAATATGTACAAGGATGCCCACTACGTACAAGGTGTGGTGCCAGCATGTTACCTGCTCTCTTGCTTCAACACTCACAAAGAAGCAAACGTTATCATCCCCAATCTACAGATGAGGAAACTGAGGCACAGAGGGTTTAAGTGACCTATCCAAGATCACTGATGCAGGAAATGAACATAGGACTTGACCCAGAAGAGTGCCAGAGTCACAAGAGCCAACTCAAGAGCTGATCGTGTGTACCTCTTCCCAACTATGCATTCAGTGCCATCACCTCAGGAGCTTGAAATCAGTCATAGTGGAAATATTTACACCACAGAAATAGGCAAATGCTAGAAATCACAGTTTTTCCCCCTTGGGGAGCAAACTGTAAACATTTACCAGTGCAACACTGATTCAACCCTAGGCTGTTGACTCTTTTCTATTATGTCTATAGGTCTCCGTTTCTAAAATTTCACAGATAAGTAAAAGAAAATTAATTGGGAGCACAGACATGGATGCCAAGTTTTTATTTTGCTCAGACAACACATTATTATTATAATCACCATCATTTCATCTAAAAAGGCTATTTCAATTCTAAAATAATTTTTAAAAGAGCCAAATCTCAGGATAAAGTCCAATTCTTCAAGACACACACACACATGCACGCGCACTATCACTCTCTCTCCCTCCCTCTCTCTTTCTCTGACACACACACAATCTCCCCACTCCCACCCCCAGACTGAGCAGCAATGGACTCTGTTATAGGCTTCAGGGACTGGCCCACCATGACACATCAGGACATATACATCCCCTCCTGGGGTCTAGAGATGGCTCCAGCCCTTAGTTTGGGCATCCTGGGCCTGACAGGCAGACCCCAGGCCCCAGCTCACTGCCCAAAGCACAATGCCGGGAAAAACAAGTTACTTGGATTGTTCACCTAAATCAAACACAATCTGGAAGGCAATATGTGTGTCCTAGAGTTAAAAGAACATAATCGATAATTAATCTCATCATCATAGAGATGTGACTTTGTGGGTTCTAGGGTTTGGCTGGTGTCTCTATGCCAGCTCTGAGGGGTGACACATGGGCACTGAGGGAGCCAGGAGTTGACTATGCACCTGCAGCATTCTGTCTTCAGGTCAGAAAAACCACCCACCAAGCCAAGTCCAACCCTGGCCAGGCATAGCTGTACTCACTCCAGCAGAAGGGCATGGGGGCTTTGCAAGGACGAGGGCTGCATCAAGATTCATGGCCCCACTGGGTCAATGGCAAACTGACCATATCCTTCCCAGGCTCCCATCAGCTTGGGCGCAAGTGCTCTGCCAATGCTTCCCTAGCCAGACAGTATTGCCCATGGGTCACATTCCCAGTGGGCAGGTCCACCTAACAGCTCCCCACATCCTTGTGACTTGCCATGCTCTTCATTGAGATGACACTGCTTATCTCTAAGTGCTTCTAAGTGCCAAATTAGCAAGACAGTGAGGGAAGAGAGTATCTAGGAGGAGAGCAGCTTGATGACTGGTGTGGATGTGAGAGGCTGGGGATTTAGCCATGTCCTCTAATGTGCCTGAACCTAGGGAGGTGAAGGCACTTGGCTCCATTTCACAGACAAGAAAACTGAGGCCCCTGGCAAAGATGAGTAAAGGGTCGTATACTTAGAAAGAAGCCAGACCTATCCTGCTGTTCCATCAGCTCCATGACCTCATCTTTCCAGGATAATGCAGCCTCTGGAAAGCCTCAGGAAGCCTCCTTGGAACCTCAGCTTTCCCATCTGTAAAGGGGGGGAGGGTAATAAAGACTGGTTGAATAGTTTTAATGGACAAATCCACGTGGAAACCTTGATGGGGAGTATTATTACTGGACAGTCCCCTGAGGGCTAGAAGCTCATCTAACAACCCCCTCCCCCATGATCACCCACTGAGTGCTCAGGAAGTCTGCCATGAATGCCTGCACCTGTGGGGGAGGATGGACAGAGGGAGGGTGCTGCGGAAAAGGCCTGGCATTCTGAGGCTGCCTAGTAGGCACTTTTCAAATCAAAGAAGAGTGGGTGAGGGAGAGGGGGTGTCACCATCACGCAAGGGAGCAAAGTCATCCACGTACGTGGTGAGGAGCTGCGGCTGAGGACTCCTTTAGCAGACAGAACCACAGAGACCCTAGCTAAAAGGTTGGGGAGGCCCGGGTCACACTGCAGAATACTCAGGTGGGGACTCCAGCTCTGAGGCCAGCTGAAAATGCTCATCCAAAGGGGAGGGGGAGGATAGGGAGGACAGGAAAAGAGAGGGTAGGGGAGGAGAGGGATGGGGGAAAAAGGGAAAGAGCCCATGTGCAGATGTGGCAGCATAGATTAAACTGTGCCCGTTGTTAATTTTACATGTGAAGTTGTTGATCAGAATGTGATTTAATTGTACAGTATAATCCAGGCTTTTGGAATAAATTATGCAGAAAACTCATCTATAATTAAACAAATCAAAAAACCAGAGACAGGTGACACTGCAGGTTCACCCTCAGAGGGCACGGTGGTTGTGGGCGGCTGGACCCAGCAGAGGGGCAAGAAGGGAAGGGGGAGTGGCTCAGTTCAAGAACAGACAGGGGCAGGCCCAGGAGACGCCAAATCCTGGTAGGGGGTGAAGGACCCCCAAGCTCTGCCTCTGCAGGCCTTCTCACCACTCACACGAAGGCATTTCTTGCCATCAGAGCCCTGCTAGGTAGCCTGCCATCGGGGACCTAAAAGCAGTCTGCAGTCCTCCCCTCGGTGTGGCAGAGCAGCCATCTGGCATGTACGTGTGTGCGTGCATGCATGAGAGTGTGTGTGTGTGTGTGTGTGAAAGGGGGGAGGTGAAGGGGTGGACGCTGAGGGTGGGACAGCAGGTGAAGCAGGAGGGGCAGATACTGAGACCAAAGGAGGCTGGGCAGGAAGTGGTGTTAAGGAAGCAGGCACAGAGGAGCCCCTTGCTGCCAAGGCCACAGTGAACCAAGGCGGGGATGGCAATGGTGGGGGCTCTGGGTCTCTTGTTTCTCTCGTGACAGGCTGGCCAAGTCTTCTCCCTGCTCTAGGGGAAGCAACGATTTAAATAAAG